GCTAATGGCATAATTCCTCTTTCTGAACATAGATGAGAGCTGGAAACACCCATCAGAGACCATCCAGTCCAACTACTACTTCATTCTACATGCTGAGACTCTGAGGTGGGGGAAATGGCCTCCTGGAGTCACACAGGGCATTAGTGGCCCAGTCCCAAGTGCTCAGGAGCAGAAACACAAGGTTGTGCCAAGAAATAAGAAATTCACATCTGACTCTGGAAATCAAATAGAAGCATGTTCATCACCCAAGTTCCCACTTCACCCAGCTGAGCACTGATTTGGACATGGCAGCGATGGTCACTGTTCTCCCGTGGACCCATGGACACTTTCTAAAGAAACTGTCTTCACCCTCTAACCCAACATCCTTTGTTCAATGGACTGTCCTAAACAGACACATGTGTATTGTGACCTCCATAACCCACTCCCAACACAGGACCATAGGCCAGAGCATAATGGGAACTGACCAGTGACCTATAATATGGGATGGAATGATGAGATAAGTAATTAGGAAGAAGAGCAGAGAGTATTAGGAGCAAAGGCTGAGATTAGATGAGGTTCAAAGAGAATAGGGGAGCCACAACAGGCCAGAATACAAAGAAAAAGAAAACAAAGGTCACAAGGAATAGGAACTATATGGAGGCAGAAGCAGTGATAGAGAAAAGAAAGACAAAAGTAGAAGATGAGGAAGCCAGCCAATGGTAACAACACATCAGAGCAGACCCACAAAGAGTAGCTGAGTCAGGGTCATGATGGAAGACCAGAACAATGGTCCATGAGCTTGCTTTGGGTCCAAGGAGCTGGACTGAGCTCAGGACCATCCTCTATGTCTAGTTCTATGAGGCCCAGCTGCTAAACGATGATTTCCCTCTCTCTGAATTGCTCCATGTCCATCCTTTACAAAAGACAACTCATTTTGCTGAGCCAGCCTAGGCGGGTCTCTGTACCTTGCAGCCAACCAACAAAAGCAAGCCAGCATGCAGCCACTTCAAACAGCTTGACTACAGCAGGCAAAAATTCAGCCTGTGCCACTACCGCAGATGGTATTTTTGATGCCTTGATGTGTAAGTACAAGGGTTGTAGATTGGTCCCATAGGAATTGGCAGATGCTATTGCTTCTGCTTCTCCTCCTTCCCCCTCCCCCATTCTCCTCAACCATCCCACTGTCTTCCTCTTGTTCCTTCTTATTTCTCCTTCTCTTCCTCCTCCTCCTTCCTTCTTCCTATTCCTTCTGCCTCTTCCTTCTCCTTCTCTGTCTTCTTCATTATCAAGATACTTCCATGCCTTGAGTATTCAGTCCTTTATATGTATCACACATCTAAACCTCTCTGCAACCCCAATAATACCTCCTATTTTGTCTATTCTACAGAAAGGAAAACTAAGGTAGACAGATCTTGAGATAACTGGCCCACAGTCACACAGCAAGTTAAAGAGCTGAGTTGCAAGCCCAGGCTTCCTGACTCCAAAATCTACACTCTAACCACTGTGCTAGGTGAAAAAGCAAGGCCTTTGTGAACCTGGATTGGCTGAACTAGACAGGAGACAAGACAAAGAACACACAAAAAAATCTTTGGACCAAATTGGCTCAGAAATTTATTGCACTAACCACACCATTGCCTGACAAGAAGAATCTGTGTGAGGCCAGTGAGAAGAGAAATGGGGAAAAAATAACCCACCTTATGATAGATCCTGTCCACCTTCATGTCAAAGCTGCTTTCTTAATATAGGTTAATTTATTTCCCTTATCAAATTCTCCTGCTGGCTGACAAGCAGAACAATGTCACAGTCACTGATCTATCTGACCTATGTTTCAGTCTCATCTGACACCAGGAGGCTCATTGTGTCTGTAAAGCCAGAGAGAAAGGTCTCTAGGTGGTTCTCTGCTCCTTGCCCCTCAAAATGTCACAAAGGAAAGAATGGGTTATAAGGGATGCACAGTTATTATACTTCCCAGGGTCCTTACCATTTGAACTTGCTCAGCCCTCCTAGCAGTGGGGATCCCATTTCCTAGAGATCTGTATCTTTTACAAATAACAAAGGAAAAGTGGACCCCACCTGATGTTTTGATCAGAGGCCCCAAAATCTAAGCTGATAATAATAGCTAGAATTTCCTGGATCCTAACTATGGGCCAGGAAGTACACTGAATGTTCATTGTTGAATTCCAACCTCACAACAACTGTCTGAGTTTGGTGTTCTTATTGCCCACCATGGGCACTTTAAAACATGACTACAAATCTGTGGACTCTTCCCACTAAGAGTTGAGGTCTGTATTTCTTCCCTTTGGATCTGAACAGGCTTGTGACTGCTCCCATCAGTAACGTGCACAGAAGTGACACAGTCAAAGTTCCACCTTGTTTGCTAATTCAGTTGCTTTTTGAGCCATGAGCTGCCCTGAGGCAGCCATATTGTGAGGACACCCAAGCATTACAGCAAGTCCACATACAGGTGCTCTAGTTGACATCTCTGCTGAACCCAGGCTTCTACTCAACCCAGCCCAGGCACCAGACATGGAGTGAAAGAGCCTCTAAATCAGGGGTCAGAAAACCTTTTCTGTAAAGAATCTGACAGTAAATATTTTAGGCTTTGCAGGCCATGCAGTCTCTATCATGACTACTCAACTCTGACATTATAGCATAAAAGCAGCCACAGAAATAAGGGTTTGTCTGTGTTCCAATAAAACTTTATTTACAAAAATAGATGGTGGGCTGGATTTGGCCTGTGAGCCATAGTTTGCCAATCCCTGTTTTAGATGACTCCAGCCATTATCTGTGTAAGTCTTCCCAGTTGATTCCCATGATGGAGCAGAGACAAACCATTCCCCCTGCTCCCTGTCCTAATTCCTGACCTACAGACTCCATCAGTATAATAAATGGATGATTGTCATATGCCGCTAAGTTTGAGTAGCTTGTTGTGCTGCAGTAGATAACTGGAACAGCCCCATTTTACATACAGGGAAACTGAGGCTCAGAGACATTAAGTTACTCACTCAGTCTTATAGCTAGTAAGCACAGAATGCCACAGCTGATTGCCAGGCTTGCCTGATTCCGATTCCAGAAGCCAAGTTCACCCCACTGCTGAAATGATGCCACAAGGAGCCAGATGGCAAATAGCTTTGAGATGAAAATGGCGGGTGAGATAGCTCAAGAGCAAGGGAACACACGGGCTTTGTGGGGAGACATGGAAGGAGAGGTCAGAGGTACAGGAGGGACCAAATTATGCATGGCTTTTTAGGATTCAGTAGAGTCTGATTTGTTTTCTAGATGTAACAGAAAGCTATTGGATGGGTTTAAAGCAGGGCATGGCATAATTCAAATCACGTTCATTGAGCATCACTCTGGCTGCTGTGCAGGAAATGGATTGGGAAGGGGGCAGTCCTCTCTCTGTGCCCTGCCAATGTACAGTGACTTGGCTATCATGATGCTCCTTTAGGACCTGGACACAGGTCAGTGACCTGCTGATCCTTGGGCTGATGCACTTTTCCCACTGATATAGTTAGGATATTTGTCTCCTCTGAATCTCATGTTGAAATTTGAACCCCATGTTGGAGGTGGGGCCTAGTGGGAGGTGTTTGGGTCACAGGGGTGGATCCCTCATTGGTCCCTTTTTTGCAGTAATGAGTGACTTCTCACTCAATTAATTCCTCCTAGAGCTGGTTGTTTAAAAGAGTCTGCCACCTCTCCTCTCTCCCTCTCTCTCTCACCTCCTCTCTCTTGCTTCCTTCCTTCCTTTCACTGTATGGTGCCTGCTCCCCTTCACTTTCTAACATGAATGGAAGCAGCCTGTGGCATCCCCAGAAGCAGATGCTGGTGTCAGGCTTCTTGTACAGCCTGCAGGACTGTGAGCCAAATCAACATTTTTCTTTATAAATTACCCAGCCTCAGATATTCCTTTATAGCAATGCAAATGGATTCAGACATCTACCTTCAACGTAAAGCATGAAAGCTTTGAGATGCTTGGGAAATCACCTATTGGTGTGTGCAACCTTTGCCTCCTGCTGTGAGGCTTGGCATGTCCCTGGATAGATTTGGTACAGCCCCATCAGCAGATCAAATAAGGGATGTGGAAATCATGCCAGAAATATCTAGGCAAATGAAAGAAAGATGCACAGAGGGACTCACTGCTGACTACCTGTCTGAGGGTGGAAACCAACCAAACTACCTGTTGCCCAGAGCTCAAGGCCCCAAAGAAAACCCAGCCATCCAGCCTCCACCAGAAGCTCAGATATAGACCCCTATTCCTTGGAGGTCTGATGGGACAGATGTGTCAGAAAGCCCAGAATCATCTGCAAAGTTGGTCCTGGAAGATGGTGTTACAGTTTGGCTGGGTCCTCACCCAAATCTCATCTTGAATTGTAGCTCCCACAATTCCCACATGTCATGGGAGGGACCTGGTGGGAGGTAATTGAATCATGGGGGCTGGTCTTTCTTGTGCTGTTCTTATGGTAGGGAATAAGTCTCACAAGTTCTGATGGTTTTACAGAGGGGAGTTTCCCCACATAAGCTCTCTCTTGTCCGCCGCCATGTAAGATGTATATTTTGCCTTCTACCATGATTGTGAGGCCTCCCTAGTCACATGGAACTGTGAGTCCATTAAACCTCTTTTTCTTTATAAATTACCCAGTCTCAGGTATATGTTTATCAGCAGCATGAAACAGACTAATACAGATGGCAAAACCTCTCACAGAGCAAAGCAAGTGAGATCTGGACCACTAAGGAAACTCCTTTTAAGTCTCTCTTCCCATCCCCATTGTGCCTTCTTGGACACTCTCATCCATTCTCATTCCAACGTGCCCTCTCTCTAAATTAGATTTCTGGCACATAAATCTCTCCACTGATCTCTGGCTGTCCCTCAAGCTTTACTCAACACAAACATCACAGAATTAGGAGAGCCGAGACGGGCTGGGAGGGAGTGCCATGCTCCCAGATCAACCCTTCCTCCCTCCTGCCCCTCACCCAGCAGTACCAGCCCCACATGTCCAGACCCAGCAGAAGCCAAGCCTTACCTTGTTGATTTTGTTGGTTTTGGGGAGCGTCTGACTGATGTGCAGGTCTGAATACCGAGGTGGCTTCCGTAGAGGGTTGTTGATGTCACATGGAACGGACTCTGTCCGGACTAACCTTGCTGGATCCGTAGGGGTAAAAACAATGATTTGGGAGTTTAAGTATCACTTTAGCTTTGGTTATGCCAGGAGAGCATAGCTCAGATCTCACCTCTTAGGCCCACGCCCAAGACTAGAGGACAATTCACCAAAAGTGATCATCATTTTGTCACGGTGGTGGGATCAGTGTATTTTCTGTGGTTTGTAAAATATTTCTATTGTCCATATATGACTTTTGACAATTAAGATGATAATAATAAAACTAAAGCTGTCAGGTTTTTAAAAATACTGTAATTGTTTCATATCATCAGAATCTAAACTCATTTTAAATACACACGGTTTCCAATTTCTCAGGGCCTGTGATGAGTGGATAAGCTCATCATAGTGCCCTGTCCCTAACTTTCTAACCTCTGTATTAGGATTGCCTTTCCTGCCTTTTGGGATTCCTTAGGCCTAAGAAGCCTGCTGCACATTGAAACACTTTGCCCTAAACAAGGATCCTTGAAAGAAAGACAGCTGTTCCAGGAAGCCAGGCACATAGTGGATGCTAAATAAATGCTTCCTGATCCAAATCACATCACCCAAACCCCTCTCTCTCCTGTTATTTCTGTTACTCACAGGGAACACGGCAAAGGACAAAAGCGAGAAGCTCAAAAATCAAATTTGATGCTTGCTATTGCTACTCGTTAGCTGTTTTTTTTTTTTTTTCTTCTTCTTCTTTTTTTTTTGTGGTGGTGAGAGGAGGGTGTTAGTTGAGAAGTTTAAGCTCCAGACTGACCCAGGGATTTCATTTCTCTGCTTAGCCTGAGCTGCCATCACCATGGAAACTGACTGTATTTTCAACTTCCAACCAACAGAGAGAAAAAGCAAGAAGCTGGTGGATTTCTGCAAAGTTCAGTTTGCTCTGCATGTGCAGACACCTGCTGCCTTTGAACAAAAGGTGGCCTGGCCTTGAGGGTGGGTGGGAGGGAGCCTTTCTTCAAATGTCAGCCTCTGAGCACCAGCACCTTCCAAGCAGGCTGGTTCTGTCCATATGGGAACCGGGTTCTGACAGAAACCTCTGCATAGAGAATTTGGTGGGAGGCAATTTTTCCAATGAGGCTGACCCAAGGCAGGGTCTCAAGAGAGGTGAGAATTCAGGTTTTAAAATAGCCTCATTGAGTGAATACACTTATTCAAGGAACAGATGGTTCTCAATTAAGGATGTGGAGTGGGAAGGGCAAGAGAAAGGAGCTGAAGACTTTGCCTTCACTTGCAGTTTTCCTGGTTTTGGAGATAAGCAATGCAAAGATCATCGAAAACCAACTGCCCGTTGGCTTTGGGACGCATCACAGTGTCTTCGGCAGCAATTTGCCTCCTTTAGGTTTCCCTTGGGTTCATTCTAAATCAGGGCAGATTCCCAGGAATATGCACTGAGCAAGGCCAGGGGAGATGGGAGTGGGAAAGTGCGAGGACAGGGAAAGAGGACTCTGTCGGATTAGCGAGTTGCTGTACCCTAAAGTTGCTCCCTGATGATTCAAAGGCTCTAGCCATCCTATAGATGAGGGGTTTGTAGGGATGTGGCCAGCAAGAGTTTGAAATATTTTAATAAACTGCTTATATTTAAAAATAAGCATATGGCAAAAATTCTCTATTTGGGCTTTTGTTGGAAATGTCAGAAATGCTGGCAGTGTAGGTCCACAGAGCTGGAGTGGCTGGCTACCCTCTCCAGATGGCACTTGGGTTTTCCAGTGTGCCACAGCCCCATCTGGCCAACTTCTCTCATTTAGGACAGCTACTTGGCCCTCATAGACATCCTAGTTTATATCTGACTCCTGCTCCAGAGCAGTGCTTCTCAGCTTTAAGGGGCATAGAAGTTCCCTGCAGATCCTGTTTAAAATGCAGATTCTGATTCATAGGTCTGGGGTGGAGCCATAAACTATGCATTTCTAACAAGCTCACAGGCAATCCTGATGCTGCTGGTTCATTGCTTTGAATAGCAAGGATCTGGCCCATGGCGTGCAGTAGAACTTTCTGCAATCCATAAAATGCTCTATATTTGTGTTTTTATTTGATTTTAATTAATCTAAATTTAAATAGCCACCCATCTAATACAGCTATTAGCCACTCAGCTAACAGCTACTGTTTTGGGCAGCACAGGTTCAGAAAGTCCCTCAGGGATACATTTCAACATGGATAATGGGGTTTGGGGGTGATTGCCCCATAGGACAAGGATCAGGGAAACCATTTTGAAAGTTGGACTACAAGACTTCCCAAGGTAGTGTCCCTTATGAGTCCTTGGCAGTCAGGGAAAAGCCTTTCTTCTGTCTTTCCTTCCAGCCAGATTCATCTTGCTTTTGCGTAGTAGAATCCTGGTAGCGGCTCTCCTAGGGCTGTTAACTCCCTGCCTGGACAGGTCGGCCCAGACACTCCTAGGGCCTCGTGAAATGGGACACAGATGGCCCAAACCAATAGGCCCCAAGACATACCCCTCCCCATGCCCACTTTTGCAAGGCCAATTGATTAAATCTAGAGAATACACAATGGAAAAACACCCAGCCGGTGCTCTTTTTTGGTGGAAAGAAAAGCAATGGGATTGGGGTAAACAGAAGAGGCTAGAAATTAGGAAAGGAGATAGGACGAGAGAGCAAGGGTTGAGCGGGAAGAAAGAGCGGGCTAAAGTGTCAGAGCAACCAGTACAGGAGCAAGAAATAAGGAGAACACGCATAGGGGAGTATAGAGGAGACAGATGTCAGGAAGAACGGTGTCAGAGAGAAAGAAACAATGAGGCAAGTGTGTGGGGAGCAGGAGGTATTCGGAACCAACCAGGGTGGGTTAGTTGGACAGCTATCTGGGGGCCTGCAGGAGACTCACCTCGCCCCTACCCCTAGAACAGTAAGTGTTAAATACTTACCTCCTCGATGGATGATCAGGAGATGGCAGGGTGGGGCTTCTTTGGTGCATTTGTTGTGGCACTTTAACCTGAGAGAGATAAAGAGAGAAAGATGGATAGGTGAATGACTAAGTGAGTGGATAGGTGGGTGGGTGAATGGATGGATGGATGGATGGATGGATGAGTGGATGGATGGATGGATGGATGAGTGGATGGATGGATGAATGGATGGGTAGATGGATGGGGAATGGATGGGTGTGTAGATGGATGGTTGAGTGGATTGATGGATGGATGGATGGATGGGTAAGTGAATGCATAAATTGGTGGATGGATGGATGCATGGGTGGGGGGTAGATGAATGGATGGATGGGTGGATAGATGGATGGGTGGCTGAACAGATTGATGGATGGATGGCAGATGGATGGGTGGGTAGATGAATAGATGGATAAATGGGTAGTTGGATGGACAGGTAAATGGATGAGTGGGTGGATAAATGGGTTGATAGATGAATGGGTGGGAGATTAATGAACAGATATATCAATGGGTGATGTGTGGACAGATGGGTAAGTGAATGGATAAATAAATGGATAGCTGGATGAATATGACAGATGGATGGATGGATGGATGGATGGATGGTGGATGGGTAGGTAGATGGATAAGTGGATAGATGGGATACCCCCATGGTCTGGAAAGCTCTGGGTGCTGTGGATACTAAGATGTGAGATGATATGGGACAGCCACTGCGAAGGCATATCCTCAGCAACCCAGGAAATTAACGCTGGAGAGAGGCTCCCAGTATCCCACTTTCTCAGGTCAGTCTTAGGTGGTCCAAGAGTGCGTGGCAGCTGTTTTATTAGCACTGCCCACATGGATTTCATGTTTTAAAAAATATCAAATACCATGCTTTTCCCATCAGCCTGTATTTATAATCACCATCATCATCATCACAGTTCTCCTCATCATCTTCCATTTACTCGAAGACTCATTTTGTACGATGTCATTTAGTCTTTATAACAACCTTACAAAATGGGCATTATTATCATCACCATTTTACAGATGGAAAAACTGGGATTAACCGACTTGCCCTGACAGAAAACCTGGGTCAGTGGTCTCAAAGGTGGCCGCCCATTTTTCTTAAAGGCTCAAGCTGTAGGACACATTCAACCAGGGCTTCCAATTGTAATGAAATCGGTGCCAGGTATTAAGTTTTAGAGGCATAAAGTTGAAGAGTTTAGAGTAAAAATGTCTTCATTTGAGAGAAGCCTAAGAGGACACCTTGCTCCTTCCCCTGGAGTTGCCTGACTTCACAAGGATAATAAGAATCACAAATTACTGCAGCCTGGCTTTGTCCTTTTCTTTTAGAGTTTTATGTCCATAGGATAGACACACACTGCGGAAGATGCCATAAGTAGCCCATTCATATCCCCTTGGATTCTCTTACCATTCTGTGCATACCAACCTAACTTCCAGCAGCCAATATCTTTGCCAGATGGTGGCCCTCAGGCTGCTTGGAGATTTAGTATTAAAAGCAGACACATCAGTAAACTGAGAAGTAGGAACTTTACAGTTGCCCCCTACTCTCTTTCTGATTTGAGAGTTCTCTTTAAAATAATGGTTCAAATATGCAGGCACAGACTCGACACTGATTTCTCCCATTTGTCTAATTCAGTGTTTCTGAAAGTAGCATCCTCAGACCAGCAGCGTAAGCACCACCTGGGAACTTTTCTGGGGCCCCACGGCAGACCTGCGGAATCAGTACTCGGAGGCTAGGCTGCAGCAGGCAGAACTCTGGGTCTTAACAAGCCCTCTAGGTGAATCAGATGCACGCTTAGGTGTGAGAACCACCAGCCTAGCTGACTGTTTTGGAATATCTGTGCATATTTCCCCCAATTTTCTCTTGTTCGGTATTTCACGGATCTGATGGGGCTCTGAATTCCTCTCTGAAGAAGTTAGACCTGGGACCAGCAAGAGTCAAGAAGGGGAGTAAGGAGGGACATAGGCAGTAGGAGACAATGCTGAATCACATGGTGAGACATAAGGCCCTCTCCAATTCTCTTTCAATCTGATGGCACCAGAGAGAAGGTCTCTCTAACACATGCTATCTCCGGTCCCAGATTTCAACAGATAGCAGGATCCACAGGGAGTTTTATCAATGGGTTTTCCATTTAAAATTTATTTTTTGTAATCCCAGCACTTTGGGAGGCCAAGGTGGGTGGATCACGAGGTCAAGAGATCGAGATCATCCTGGTCAACATGGTGAAACCCCGTCTCTACTAAAAATACAAAAAAAATTAGCTGGGCATGGTGGTGTGTGCCTGTAATCCCAGCTACTCAGGAGGCTGAGGCAGAAGAATTGCCTGAACCCAGGAGGCGGAGGTTGTGGTGAGCTGATATTGCGCCATTGCACTCCAGCCTGGGTAACAAGAGTGAAACTCTGTCTCAAAAAAAAAAAAAAACAAAAAGAAAAGAAAATTTATTTTTTCCAGGTTGCCTTACGAGATGGTTTGAATATCTGTCGCTTCCAAATCTCATGTTGAAACATGACCTCCAATGTTGGAAGTGGACCTAGTGGAAGGTGTTTGAGTCATGTGAGCGGATCTTTCACAAATGGCTTGGTGCCTTCCCTATGGTAACGAGTAAGTGCTCACTCTGTTAGAGACCCTGGGATCTGATTGTGTAAAGGAGCCTGACACCTTCTTCTATCTCTCTTGCTCCCTCTCTCACCATGTGACACCCCTGCTCCCCCTTCTCCTTCTGCTACAAGGCCTTACCAGAAGCCAAGAAGATGCTGGTGCCATACTTGTACAGCCTACAGAACTGTGAGCCAAAGAAACTTCTTTTCTTTATAAATTACCAAGCCTAGGTATTCCTTTATAGCAATGTATAACAGACTAACACACCTTATAGTAATGGCAAATGATGTTGAGATTTCATTTATGATAATGAGATATATTTTCATCTTTCAATAAATTTAAGTTTAAAAAGGCCATAAATAGAAAATAAATATAAATAGTAGAGCTGATATGTAATTATGGATAAAATCATGACAGAGTGTTAGACAAATGTCTGAGTTAGACTGGGAAAGTTGACTTAGACATTTTGGAATCTACAAAAAGAGGACAAAACACCAGAAAGTCTAAGACAGTTGAAAAACATTTGGAAGTGCTGTTGGTCGTGAGTGTCATAAAGGCTGCAGAATGCTGCAAATAACAAGAGCTAACATGTATGATGTGTCAGGTAATGTCCTGAGTGCTTTACATCATTCATTTAATCCTCGTAACAGCCCTAAGAAGCAGTAGCTATTGTTAGTCCCATTTTACAGAGTGAGAAGCTCAGGCTCATCAAATTTGGATAACTTACCTAAGGTCAAATGGCCAGTAAGAGACAGAGGTTCCCAGCCCAACTTTTAACCATGATGCTAGATGCCTTCACGACTTGCACTCTTTTTGCTTTAGCACCTTGGGGTTGGTGTGGGTAAAGCAGAAGGTTCCCGGGAGCTATGACTACCTGAGTCAAAATGCCCTTCTTTGAGACAAGCCTAAGATATCACCTAACTCTTCCCACTACAGTTGCTTGACTTCACAAGGATAATCAAAATCCTGAGTTACTGTGACCTGGCTTTGTCTTTTCCTTTTCTAAGACTCTCAGACTCTCAGACTTACAGGAAAGATTCCAGTCCCCAAGGGAATGCTCACGATGCTTCAAAACCCTTATGCAGAGCTCTGCTAAATGTGAAATAAGCCTTTCATTCATTCAACATTTAGCTTGGCCTGGAGTGCCCCAGGTACTGGAGATACACAATGAACAAGGCTAATGCAGCCTCTCTGTTTATGGGGAGGAAAGATAAATGCATAAGTAGATAAATAATAGCAGGGATCATAAGATCATGAAAAAATATTTCAGGGAAATGGGATGGGGAAGGATGGGGTATGAGGGAAGCCCTTGGGTAGGTGCCAAGGGTAGGTGAGGTTGAGTTCTGGCACAAAGGTTTGCAAGCCAGAGCAAGTGTGGTGAGTTCAAGGGTCAAAAGTTAAAGGTCAATGGGTCTTTTAAAGTGATAAGAACAAAACAAACCGTGGGGACATGAGGAAGGAGGGGTGGTGGGGGGGCCTGAAAGCCATGGCAGGGGCCTGCATTTGATTCTGCAGGTGCTGTGAAGCCACTGGAGGTTTCCAAGGACCATGACGTAGTCAGACTGATGTTTGGGAAGCCCTGAGCTGGGGGAAATCTGCTGATGTCAAAGGGGAGATGAACCAAGAAGTTTCTGTACTTGGAATAGCTGGACTCCACCCCAGAAACTTCAAGAAAGAAATTTTTTCCTTTCTAACACTCCCACCTATGAGTCTTCTCTAATAAACTCAGCTGGAAGAGTGCCTTGCACATGTAAAGAAGACCTGTTGCTATCTCGTGGGCAGGACTTTGAATCAGGGCCATGTAATTTAATTTAACATGTAGACCACTGCCAAGCCAAGGCAGGACGGGCGAGGCTGCCCACGACCTTGGCCTATTTCCTGCTCTCCTCCTTGGTATTTTTTCTCTCCAGAGTCCCTTGTTGCTTGTCTCTTGCAGTAATAGAAAAGCCCTCCTTGATCTCTGTCCCAAGAGTGGGAGGCACTGTTCCTTCTAGCCAGGGGCTTCAGAGGGCAGCATTAGCAGTGGAAACACAGCCTTGCTCATGCAGAAAACCCCAAGAGAAATATCTCCAATGCCCAGGCACTTAAACCTTGCATGGAGATTCAGATGTCAAGAACGAGAGCCAGCACATCAGGATCTGCTAATAGAGTCGGCAGGATTAGGCGAGCCCTGAAATTACATAGACTCTGGAGAGAGAGGGAAGAGGGACCACAGCAAGGCTTTGCAAGCACACTATGTCACACTTAATGGAAACTGTTTTTCCAGCTGGAAATGTGCACCCTTTTCCCAAAATGTGGCTTTTCCTTTTCCCTACCCATGGAAGAAAGAGCTACTAGCATATAATTTACCAGGAGACCACCTGCTTCAAAACTGGATTCCCAGGCCCCACTCTCCGAGGTCCTGATTCAGTATGTGTCTGCTGCGAATGCAAATTTTAAGCAAGCACACATGAAAC